TGATGTAACTGAAGGTGATCTTAGTTCAGGTGCCCTATATCTGGTCTTGAATGCCCTAAGAAAAGTCACCTTAGAGCTTTGTACCTGAATTCAATCAAGAAAATCCCAGAAGCAGGTGTAGCAACAGAGCATAGGTAGAGTTAATGGGCTTCTTGCACCAGCAACAGTTTAACAAACAAATCTTCTGTCTTTTGAATCTGCTGAGGATGGAGTGGTTGGGAAATAGTTGTGAATGGGTGAGTTAAGTCACTCAAATAATCATCATCAGAGGTATTGGCAAAAGTGCTTTCAGTAGGACATTGTAAAGTGCGACTGAACAAAGTTCGATTGCAAAGTTCACTCTGTCGCTTACTATGTGGAAGAAACATACAAAGGAAAATGAAGTTAGAATTGAGCTAGAGTGATGTACACAGAGACCAAAGGTGCAAAAGGGTAAGGGTCACGAGGTTCGGAATGGACCCCCCTGCTTCCTGAACTCCCTCTCCGAGGAGTCTATGTGTGCCTGGATCCAGACTTGGTCAATGGTTTATGTCTAAAGGATTGCACAGGCAAAGTTCGTAATAATTGAGTAACTACATGAATTAGCAATGTTTCATCAGTATGAATTCAGCATGCTGTCAGTCATTTACTGAGGATCTGTTGTAAGGGGTCTCTTTGCCTTGGGCAGGGGAGGATCTCTTAGTCTCAGGTGAGGAATATCAAACCTTGAGACGCGTCCCGGCTCCAGGGGAGAGTTGCCTGGTGTGCAGTCCAGCTGCAATTCAGGGACAGCTCAGATTTGGGCTCATCCAAAGCTCTGCCATTGGGAAAAGGTGTGTCTGCCTTGAGGAGCAGCCTTGAGAGGTGTCCCAGCGCAAGGGGTGACCCCTGCCACGCTGCCTGGCGGGGCGAGCCCCAGGGCAGCTCTCTGGGCTGTCACATTTATGGAATGAAGTGGTTGGCTTGTAGCGGAATTGCACACAGTGGGAAAGGTGAGGTACGTGTGAGACTCCTTGTACTCACAACTGTCTTTGTTCCTTGATAAATGAGTCTTGGAAAAGCTGCCTGCTGTTCGTGCATTAATGGTGGGATGGGTGTGCCAAGCCCACATGCATTCACGCTCGCTGTGTCACTGCACCTTTGTGGGTTTTCTGGAGGGGTTCTTGCTCCAGCTACGGCTCAGGCCTTTCCCTCCCTTGGAGCCTGTACCAAACTACTGCAAGTTTGGTTGAAGGGTTGAGTGCATCCGTCACAGAAATGTGGTTCTCGTAGCAGGTAGACATCTCATCCTGCCTGGTATTAGCATCTACTAAGGTTTGTGAGGACTTTTTTATGCCCAGGAATCTCTGGGTATTCTCCAAACCACGCTCAGATAGAAGCAGAACTCAGTAGGCTTTAACTTAATCCGGGTTGCAGAACCTGGGTGTGATCACAGTGGTCCCTCCAGTCTTTGACCCTGTGTTCAGTGCAGCCTCTTGCACACGAAGCAGAGCTCTTTAGGTTGGAAGAGTGGAATAAGCTGTACCTTGGACTGCTTCCCTGCACTGAGCTCTCCGTCTCGTCTGGCTTGACCCTGCGTTGCCAGTCCTAGGTTTTGCCAAAGGGGTGTTGGGCCCCAGGGGAGGTGGGGCTGATGGTCAGCTCTGTCCCAGCGAGGCTGTCGCCTGTGGCCCTTCATATAGAGGATGAGCAAACAGAGATAAAAGGGCCTTTCTGCCTCTCGAGCTTCGTGTAGCTGGATTTCTTGAGGAAAAACCAGTACAAATTACTTCTGTTGGATGTTCCCTTGCTCCTTTGTAAATCTACTGTGAAAATAAAAATCTAACTCTTGTTTCCTTCACGGTGCGGTGGGTTTGGCCTGGCTAGCACAGACTAAGCTGTGGTGGCCCAGGGGCTGTCAGCCCATCTCTGCTGGGCGTGGAGGGGAGGGCGCAGAAGCCTTTAAACCGTTCTAACAGGAGCGCGGGCGCTCCTCGGGAGGTGCCCGCTGCCCGTTCCCTTTGAAAACGGTGCAAAAGCCGAACCCCGGGTTAGATCCTGGTTGCTTTTCCCGGTGACGTGGCTGCTTGTGTCTTGCAGAACGTGGAGATGCTCAGCAGCCTGGACTCTGCCTCCGTTCGAATCATCAAGCCCTTCCCGGCGGCGCAGTCGACAAGCCGGCACCAGCCGCTGCAGCCCATCACAGCCGTGCCCGCCGTCGCCGCGGCGCCGAAGCAGGACCACCAGAGGATGGACACCATTCAGGAGGACCCAAGCACCGACTCCCACATTGACGAGGACGCGTTTGAGAAGGACCCTTTCCCAAACAGCAGCTCGGCCGCCAAATCTTTTGAGGACTTGACAGACCATCCCGTCATTAGGAGTGAGAAAGCTTCATCCTTTAAACTACAGCGCCAGAACCGGGTGGACAGCAAAGAAACAGAATGCTAGTGGCCTGCTGCCTTCCAAATGTATGACGTGTGTCTGCAAAACAAGGATCTGAAACCATTTCATTTATATAAATATAAATATATGTATATATATTTTTTTGTGAGGGAGTGGGAGAAATAAGGAAGTGACCTACTGCAGATGCTGGTCATGTGTATGACCTTCCTTAAATTACATTTATTAGAGCATTATATCTTTTAAAAAGGAAAATCCAAACTAAAACTGGCTTGTTTTTGAAGCTTTTTGGATTTGTTTTTCTATTTCCTTGACCTTTAACATTTCCTTCAACCTGTGGTGCAAAACCAAATATCCTGCTGGATATTGGATTGTGTATATCAGCCTTTTTTATAATTTAATGTTTTGTAGTCTGACAGCACTGAGAAACAAAATTAAAGGGGCTTTTAAAAACAAACTGAAAACACTGCAGTATGTTCCATATAGAGTAGATCATTTAGCAGTTTAAGGTACATGTAAGCAAAAGCCCCTGAAACAGATAAAAATACAGTCTCACAGCATTCAATGAAGATGCATAATTGGAATCAAGAACTTTCTGATAAACAGCTTCGAAATTTATAGGTAAGAGTAATGTGGAGACTGTTACACCTTACATGATGCATGGAAGTGCTCCTCTAGCATGAAACTTGCCTGTAGCGGTGAGATTGTCTTGTCTTTGTGGCAGAGAAAGGCTTTCGTCAGGAGTTTCCCTCTGTGCTAAGACGCTTGTGTGTTGGAGGTGTCTGATAGGAGAAAGAAGCGTAAGGGGAGAAATCATTTTTGCAAATGAGGACTGTTTAAACCAGCTGTTTACAGCGGTGGTTTCAGTGCAGAAATGTTTCTCCAAATGGTGTTTTGAAATAGGTAACGCTATTGTTGAGATCTTCAGAGAGAGCTGTGCCTCAGTTTTCAGGGTCCAGGTGGCCTTTGGAAGCTCCTTCTGCATAAATAAACGGGTGTGGGGGGAATTCCCTCCATTGCAGAGGGGCATTTGTTTTAAAAACAATTGTGAATTTAATAAAAAAAGAAATAAACCTTTGTTTAACTTACAGGGGAATTATAAGGAGACTTCATGAATTAAAATTACCACCCAGGTAGTAAAATGTGATGTTGAAAGTTGGTAATTTAATGGTGTCCTCTTAATTTGAGTCACGGGGAGGTCTGGAAGGTGAGCTGGGCATGGCCCCTGAGCGTTGTCTTAGCTTGGTAGCAGAAGGACTGACACTGGAGTCACAGAGCAACCGTCCCGATAGCGAGGCAGCATCTTCCTTCTGCATCTGTTTTCTCCTGTAATAATCTGTTGATAAAACTGACGTAAAACCTGACCAATGGTAGAACCATTTGAACTGTTACAGGCCTGTGCTCAGCTACAGGGGAACCGCTGCTGCGGGGAGCCTTGTGGTTTTAAAGGTGAGGGGAAGGAACCAAACCTGTGCTGCAAGGATCGCGGGAGTACCCCCCCTCCCCCCCAAGGATACTTGTTACACTAATACTTGAATATGTGCCTTATGGTATGCCAATCTGACTAGTTACTGTGTTTTATATACTGGTTTTGAACTTTGTTTGGGGTTTTTTGTTTGTTTGGGTTTTCTTTTTTTGATTCAGTGCAAAGTATATGTGTGTGAGGAGTTATTTAATTCCCAATACAATAAAAGCTTTTTATATTAAAAAAAAAAAAAAAGTGAAACAAGCTGTTTCTGTGCAGTCCTTTTAGAAAAGGTCTAAATTCTTCAGCTGTCAAACCCTGAGTTAAGAGTCTGGCGTGCAGCTAGACGTGGGCCTGTTAGCTGTAGCTGCTCCCCTCTGACCCTCGGCTGCTGCGGAGGCCAGAGGCGGCGCAGGCGCGTGCAGACCCGCACCCCGGGGCTGCCCTGCTTCCCCCCAGGCACGCAGAGGGGCTCGCCCCGCGGCCCCTGGGGCAGGGGCAGTTCTGATGGTGAAATTCATAGCTGAGGTGTGGGTGTGGGCTCCACTGCCTCTTCAGGTAGCAAATCTCTTAAGTAGATGTTCTTGGGACCGAGGTCTCGAGTTTTTCTGATGAAAACCAGGCAGCGGCAGGTGCTTGGGAGTGTTATAAGAAAGGTTTGGAGGTGGCCTTGGAAATCACCGACTCCATCCCCCAAGCCGAGCCCTGTTCCAGGCACGAGTGGTTCGTAACACCTAAGGCAGCAGGAGGCCCAGCCTCCCCGCTGTTCAACCGGTCTTTACTGTAAGCATCTATTACAGAAAGGACAATCCTGCTTAATATTAATATTTATAAATCAAACTGGCTTCTGGTCTAGCTCCAGGCACGTTGAAAGTAACCAATTATGCTCCAGTTGGTAACGCTATTACTTAAAAGATGACAGGTCTTGGCCAAGTTGTCTTGGGTATTTAATGCAGCAAAGGCAGGCTCGTGGCACCAGCACCACAGGCCAGCTTGATGCACTCATCAGTCTTTTGTCTCACCCAGGGCACAATAAATACAGCACTACTGGCCTCATCTGTTCTGTGCCAATGTAACTTAGTACAGCCCAGAATTAGGTGGGCGTTTCATTTGCAGTGATACACTATTTGTTTTCAATCCATGATCCAATAGGATCCTCTTTCCAGCTGCTCTCTGGCTAGCCGATTATTTCCCAAACCATTTTTTTTTTTTCCCATGCTGGTTGAATTTCATCTAGGTTTCAAGCAATTTTTTGCACTTTGTTAAGGTAATTTTGTAGCTTGTGTTCTCTTGGCCAAAACCTATGCATAGTATGCAGTAGTTGTCTGTTACTTCAGTCATTGCATTATGGATGAATACCAATGCTCACTTCAAAGTCTCCTTAACTCGATGGCAAGTGACAGATGGCAGAGCTGCAGACCCCTTTAAGTAGTTTCTTCAAACTCCAAGCTTCTCCCCATGAGCCTGTGCATCACCAGTTTTATGCCACCCCAGAACATGCACTGCTTTGAAATGTGTGTCTGTGTGCAGGAGCCACGTGTAAAGAAGCTGCTGCTGGTGCCAAAATAAGTTTTAAACTTTAAAACCCCTGCTCTGAACTACGATGTACTGCTAACAAAAGCCTCGCTAAAGCTCAAATAAGGGCTTTTACTGATGTATTACATCTCAATAAACTAAACTGAACTGACATTAATGGCTCTTGACAAAATCCAGGCTACTGCCTCTTACCAGCTCCTAGGTGTTTAAAGCTAGTAGATGGTTTTAATCCAAGTGTAGTCCCCAAAACTCAGCTAGGCCAAGAACGCCTCCAGGCAGCCTCTGTCTCTTCGTCTCAGGGCGGCTGAGACTCATTTTCCTCTGAGTCTTCCAAGGAAAGAGCTGCTCATCCCCCCGACGTTCAAGCTACTGGCACAAGCTGCCTGCAGCCAAACCAGCCCATGACACGCCCTGTGTGGGCGCCTCTTTCTTCTCCCTCAGATGAAGAGACAGGGACCCACTCCCCAGGTACACAATGTCCGCAGGGTGTTGCTGGGCACCGGCTGTTCATGAACAGCCTGACTTGGTCAGGCCTGGCTGCTTCAGCTCCTTACCGCCGGGGTCTCACAGAAGACTGGCCTCGGGGTTCGTGTGGTCCACGTCACGCCAGTAAGGAAGCAGTGAAGGAAGAACAGAGAGTTTATTTTCCAGGCGTGACCAAAGCTGTGCTGCTAGAAAGCTGTTGCCTTTTGTTGATAAATGAAGACCATCAGACAGATAGGAAGAAAAATCCTAGAGGGAAGATTAAACCCGTGTATGAATGTATTTGCTACTTGCAAATAGAAGGTCTTGAGTAATTTTTAAGCGAGTTCTTCAAAGCCAGATGGTCTATATACTGGTTTTAATTTTCACCGTTTGTATTAAAATATTAAGAGACTATTCCAATGGCCAAAGTCACTGAAGGAAAAGATCATGGGATGAAGCAATGCTATCAAAACATTGAGCCTACTGCACTACTCAACAGTCTACTGCACCAGGGAGTGCAGGAGAGAGAAAAGGTTCGGTGTCCGAACCGGAGTTCCCTGCTTATGGGAAACGTCTGCAACCTGCGTCACGGGGAGGCGTCTGGTTCTCTGGCACAGCCCCACCGAACTGCCGCTAGCCCAGCACGGTGCAGAGGGCTGGACGAGCTGCCTCCAGAGGCCCCTTCCAACCTGAACTATTCCCCGACTCAAAGTCCAGGGAAAAGGTTATTGAGATGTAATGCACCCAGAGGACATTTGCTAACCAAATACAGTGGCCGGGCTGTATGAAGCTTTATTTCTCATAGCCCACTGTGGAGCATTCTGGATTATTTTTTTCCTTCCCCAAAGTGTAACTGGGATATAATTTGTATCATTTCAGTGATCATGCAGCACTCCTGGTTGCCCTATGCTAAATGAGGCGTTTTGCAATTCATGACAGTTTCAAAGGCATTCTCACAACAGCATACCTGATCTTTTTGCATCAGAGTCCAGAGGTCGAGTACATCCGTCCCACAGTCCCTGGCGACCTGAACACAAGCGTGGGCATATTCCCCCGTGGTGGCGTTGCGGCGATTTAGTTTCTCACCTATCAATCAGAAACAAAGAAAACATTTAGCAAACGCAATGGATAGAACTTGGGTTTAGTCTTCTGTGGTGCACATGCTGTGTACCAGTTTGTTACATCAGCAGACATCGCCAATTACAAACTGCATCTGAAGCCCCTCAGTTTAAGTGGCTGGAAGCTACAGCTCGGTTAGTCTCTTTCTGGGAACCTTTTGTTTCTGAGGCATTTGAAAATATGTTTTCTTAACAGATGTGTAACAGGTGAGAGAGAGGCAACAGCAACAAGCAGAGCATGGCACTTCTGTGCTGCTCACAGCTTTCACCTTCTGGCAAGCTTCAGGTGAAATCAGTGCACAGATTTAAAACTCTTCATACACCTGTTACTAAAATGCAGAATAGAGTTAAGTACACGTGTATGTATTTACAAGCTTGCCTTCCACTTCCTGGATGACATCCACCCAAGGTTTAACATCGCCTTGCAGTATTCTTGTTGCAATGTGCTGGTGAAACCAGGGTACGTTCAGGTGCAAAGCTTTATGAGCACTCACGGCTGCTCCATTTGTGCGTGCAGTCACACTGGGAGCTGGACGTTCAGTACATGTTCAGTGTCAGTTACTGTAAGCCAGCAGCTTTGCACAGACCACTGTGAAACTCTGGGGCAGGACAGTATTGAATTACATTGTTTGGTTGGTTGTTTTTTTTTAATGGGACCTATAATGCAATTCATCAACTCCTACTCTACTCCCTCCTTGCACCTGATGATTCCCACTTCCTCACAATGCCATCTCTTTCCTCCCATCATTTCTTTTCATCATAACAATATCCTCAGCAGCCTCACTGCTCTTTCCCCACCACAGTATGTTTCCTAACTCTTTCTTTCTTCAGCTTTCTTCCTGGTTCAACCCTCCCACAGACTGAGTGGCCCTTCCGATTATTCAGCCTCCACCACGCAGAGCTCCCTTTGTTGCCCAGTTCCCTGTATCAATCACGACCTCACCTCCCCAGGTCAGATCCTGCAGTCCCTTCCCTTTCCCCTTCTGTGACTTCTAATCTAGCAGAGTTGGTAATTTCTTATTCTCCCTTTGCCTTGTCTTTCATGGTTAGGATTACTTCTCGACTGTTTCATCTCCTCTTCCCTTCTGGGGCACACAAACACATGCCTGCTCTCCAGGGGCAGCTCTGCAGGAGCACGTGCAGGGTCTATAAGCTAAGAGCAGCAGCCAAAGAAGCTCAAGGAATATGGGGGTCTCCTGAGGGACCAAGGAGGCAGCCTAGTGATTTATCCCGACCTGCACGTACCCACCCAGCTTGGGAAGGAGGACAGCCAGCAGTGGGGAGCAATGGGTTGGAGGATACTTGGAGATGCCAGGTGCATCTGGGTGCGTAGGACTGGCCTGAAGGGGCTGCCGGCTGCGTTGGTGAGGTCAATGCCAATCAACTACAAGAATTTGCAGCTAACAGGAGACCCAGGGCAACTGGAAGAAGGTTAGCATTACCCCCGTTTTTAAGAAAGGCAAGAAAAAGGACGTGGGGAACTGTCGATTACTCAGCCTCACCTCAGTGCTGGGTAACATAGTGGGACTACCTCTTCTTGGGATTAATTTCCAAACACATGAAGGACAAGAAGGAACTATCAACACAACTTTAGCAAAGCCAGACAGTGCTTGTCCAACCCAATTGCCTTCTGCGATGAAATGATGGCTATGCAGGTGATGAAGACAGCTCTGACTTCGGTAAGGGCTTTGACGCTGTCTCCCACAGCACTCTCATTTGGAAGCTGAGTTTCTTTTCACGGCTCTCTTCACACCTGGATGAATGTTCCTGTGACCATCATCATCCTCTTGTTTCACATCTCTCCCCTGCTCTGATATCTATCTGACAAAACTAGAAATAAGCAGAACATTTCTCCTGGATACTGACCGAGGGCAGATGATCTGACACTGCTGCTTACTACGCCCACAATACTTTATTTGTGGTCCACACTGAGATCACCCTCTTTTGTTCCAGCCTTAGACAGCAATGTCTTTTAGAGAGAATAAATCCCTATAAAGAGAATAATTCTCTCTTTTAGAGAGAATAAATCCCTATAAACAGGATCGCCCTAAGACAGAAACTAATTAGCAACATTTTAAAAGTGTTACTCGATAGCTAGGGGCCAGATAAGCAGCATCCATGGAGTGCTCACCTAACGGACCTTAAAAAGGACAGTAGGGGTGCGTGTTTGGGAAGCTGCAGCAGCTTTAGCAGGAGCTGGGCACACACACCAGGCCAGGCTGCGCTGCACCTGGCCTACCCCGAGGATCTGCTACTGCCATGTGTACAGTACTGGCCAGGTCTGATGTTTGATCTGACCTGCTACAGCTGCTACTGTCCTACAGAGTTTCTGAGTAGCACTTTCTTTCCTTTTCCAAATTAAATATAAAAATGTCGTGGTTTGAGCCTGGTTGGCAGCCGAACACCAAGCAGTCACTCCCTCCCCCTTCCCTTCTGGCAATAAGAAGGGACAGAGAGCCAGGCTTGGGGTTCGAGATAGGACAGGGATGGGGAAAAATCCCCCTTTTATGGTCACGAGCAAAAGGCAGACTCGTTAGGGGAAGGAAAAAAAAGAACATACATTTATTACGGACACCAACACTTAACAGAGTAGGACAGTGAGAAGCATTGCCACACCTTGAGAACACCTTCCCCCCACCCCTCCCTTCTTCCCGGGCTCAGCTCTACTCCCGATATCTCTACCTCCTGGATGAGACTGAAAGTCCGTAAAGCCCAAAATCTGTTCTGCAGTTATTGCTGCCACACACCAAAGCTCCCTAATATAAAGTCATGCAATAATATAGTCTAATTTAATACAGTTTAAACATGAGGTCATCTTCAAAATGTTACTGCTTTGATTGAGTACACAACTCAGGATATGCAATACCACCTATGTTAGAGAAAACCCTGCAAATATGAAGGTGACAGCTCTGTATTTACCAGAATAAAGGCTACCAGAATATAGCCTTTCATAAACGTTCAAGAACTGGACAAGCTGTCCCAGTGGAAAAGAGGACACAGTCTCAGGAGGTATAAACTGTCGCTGCTGAAGTCAATGGAATTATGGCAATTTCCACCAGCTGAGTAAGATGAAGTAAACAGTGCTGTTATGCTTCTATTTCTAGAGTTAGCTTGAACAACATAATGAGAAATCATTTAATCACCTTTTGCTTCTTTTCAGGTACTTTTATTAGCATCATTAGAATCGGATATTCTCAGGTGTTTTCTGAATTGAAAATAAACCTGGCTAGGATATTACTGCTTATCCAAATAGGTGTGAAACATGCTGTGACTATTACAAAATTTTCTAGGGCACACAATGCCAAAATTTCTTCCATTATTCATATTATTTTGGAAGCTGCTAGGACATGACGTGGTCTGCCTAGGACATCTCAGCAAAACTTACATGCTCAAAGGGCAGCTACTTCTGTCAGTTTTACGCATGAATGGATCAATCAACACTTCTGAAAGGATGTTACTGATTAGTTTGTAGTTATTCTATGCGCTTATCCAAAAGCTGTTTGGCAAAACAGCTAGCAGTCCTTTTCCATCAACTCAAAAAACACAACTGCAATCTGGCACAAGCACAAAGCTAATCATCTGTCAGCCTGGGATCAGTAACTTACATTCTACTGGTAAAATGCAGAAATTCTGCCTATCTGTATCATCCTTTTACCTTTGGCAAGACACTCCTTCTCCCAAGCTGATTCCTGAAGAGGTGGTGGCGTTATCAAAATAATCCTGTCTTCTGTAATGTCTACTGACTTCAGATACTGTATCATGCTCTTTAAGTTCGCAGCATATTCCTCCAAAGGAACGTGTTGCTTAGGGTTCAGATCTGTTAGGGGATGGAGCACATCCATTAAACAGCTTACAGATTTATTACACAACATAACGTGCTTTTTACACAGTGAATGAATGTGGGCACTCATTTTCAGTATGCAGTTCACCTCAACCATTGATTCAGGAGGTGTGGTAGGAAAATGCCACTCCTCAGCATCCAAAGCAGACAAATCAAGAGTTTAAACACAGACACTTCCATCTAAGACAAATAAGGCAGAGGGGGGTAAAAAAAAACCACAACACGAACTCATCAGACTGCTTTAAAGGCAGAAAAATCAGCTAGATGCCCAACTCCAATTGTAGGTGATGGATATACAACTAATTCTTGAGCACCCTGAAATCTACTTTTAATATTATAATATGGCGAGAGGGAGAGAAATAGAAGGCAATGTATGGTTTAAATATAAATACAATGATGTAAAACAATACACTGTAAAAGTGAAAAGAGGGCAGCTGGTTCATAGAGAAGCAGCAGAAAAAGTCTGTGTAATGTTCTGCCTCTTCTGCTAAACTGTAAAACTGTCTTAAAAGAAGAGGTTACAGAGGAAAAAAAAAAAAAAAAACAAGCTACCATACCTTTCAAAGCACTGTCATTAGCTCCAAAGAAAATAGTAACCGCAGCAGTACTCTCAGCACTCGTACTTTTAGTGATGAGTCTCGGAAGGATTAATTTAGCCCATCTGGTGTTGTACCCTGATATCCCACGGTTCACAACATCACATTTTCTGAAACAGAGGCACATATCAAAAAGGACATATCTTCTCTGCCCACCAGAGAAAGACCTGGGAGTCTTCCTGGGAGTTCTGAACCATTCTGTTTGTTAGGATACTTACCTCCATCCCTCTCATTAAAAATTAAATGTAACAGGAGTTTTCAGTGGGATTATAACTTTATGTTTTGAAAGTGCACGCACAGGTTGCATGTGTAGTATTTACCTGTTACTTAGACTACGAAACCAGAACAACAGTCTTGACAATCACTAAGGTTTTTTTAATTTCCACTCAAGCTTTGAGTGGAAAGAAACACCCAATGAATATTTCCATCAGTACTGGGCAGGTTACCACTAAGGCAATTCCACTTCAATAAATAAATAAATGCTAATAAATAAATATACATTAAATATTAACTTGTGTTGGTTTTCTTTTAGAAAAGCTGCACGAATTCTTGCATGCTAGAAATTACGTTTGAAATTTAAGCTCTTACCTGACCAGTCTCTCGGCAAGGGATGCCCCCCAGCCATTTTCCTGGAAGGAGAACTGAAAGCAAGGAAAGCGGTTAGACCCTCACCAGAACTCACTGCCCAGCGGGTCAGTCCCACCACCACCAGCACCTTCCCTCCTCAAAAGCTCTCTGTGCACGGCCTTCAGGTCTCACCCAGACACACGGCTGGCACCAGAGGCAACGTGGGGCTGTACCTACAGAGGGACGGACCCTCTGGTCCCTTCGTAATCAAAACTGACTGCTGTCAGGCTGTAGTTTCATTTTGGCTGGTGAGTGTTTGTTGGTTTTTTTTTGTTTTGTTTTTTTTTTTTTTTGTTGTTGTTGTTTTGTTGTTGTTGTTTTTTTAATATTTTTCTACTTTTTTTCTAAGTTCCTTTAGCTGTGCCTTCATTCCAGAGAGCACCTCTCAAAAAATCCCCTCTCCACATGCTGCTTTGGAATGCAGTTCAGTCTCTACCTCTTCTAGCACTGGGAAAATTAATCCCTTCTCCTTATTCCCACTGCTGCACCATCCTCCCCATTACGGTGCTACACAGTGAGCCAGTTTAGGCAACCCATCTCCCAGTAAAGGTAACATTTGTCTTTGGCCAATTTTTTTTTTTTCATCAGAGCAGCTCTACGACGCACTCCACCACGCAACAGAAGGCAAGGGTCCAAAATGAACACTAAAAAGCTGGTATTGCCTCAAAGGAGATGTTCACCAAGCCGTGGCCTGGTCACACCGACCCAGAACGTGTCTCCAGGGGGGTCAAGCTGGATGTGGGGAGCTGCACGGAAGGGACAGACCAGGAGCCGGGACAGGGAGGAGTGCGGGGGTCCGTACAGACATCTGGCTGTCCTCCCTGTCTGGAAAATGCCACCGAAACACCAGAAGCTACGCTTTTACCAGATCATAGCATAGGATCTTTATCTATTTCTGCAAAAAGGCTCTGATTCTCACAAGACGTGAAAGCTCCTGGAACACTCTGGTGGGAGATCCAATGGGGACGTAACTATGCCGGGATGCACACCCGTGTCCCTGCTGTCCGTCCCCCCTCAGGGTGCGGGGCCGCACACGCGTGTCCCTGCTGTCCGTCCCCCCTCAGGGTGCGGGGCCGCACACGCGTGTCCCTGCTGTCCGTCCCCCCTCAGGGTGCGGGGCCGCACACGCGTGTCCCTGCTCTCCTTCCCGCCCCGCCGGCCGCCATCGTGGCCGGTTTCCACTGCCACCGCCGCGGCGGGCGGCAGCCCCTCCCTCAGGGGAGCGGCTCCGTGGGGTCCCTCACCGCGCCCCCGGCCGCGTCCCCGGGGGGTGGACACAGCCCACGCTGGGAAGCAGGCGCCCTCGAACCCTTTTGCCTTAAAAATTAATAGTAAGCAAAGCCCCGTGCTTGGGACAGGCGCCCAGCCTAACGCCGGGTGGCGGCGGGCGCGGCTCCTGAGGAAAAATGGGGGGTGTGCGTGGGGGGGGAGCCCGCGGGGCTGCGCTGCGCTGCCGGTACGAGGAACCGGGATGTTTTCGGGGCTCCGCAGCTCCAGGCGGGAACTCAGGGGCTGCCGGGGGGCCGCTACCTCAGTGATGGAGTCTCCGAAGAGAACGACGCGGGGCCAGAGCAGCAGCCGCCCACGGGAACCCGCCTCAGCAAGCGCCATGGCCGCCGCCGGACATCCGCCGAGGAGGAAGGAGGAGATGGCCTCACCGCTTCCTCTGCGGCGGGAAGGGGGGCGACGGCGGCCGGGGGGGAGCCCCCGCTTTAGATTCGCGTTAAGAAGCGGTTTGGAGCTCAAGCACTGCCAGTGTTTTATTGCTCCCCGCTTTAAAAGGCTCGTTACTGGGCGCGAAGCGCGTCCTCCCGCGGAGCCGGGGGCCTGCCCGGGCCCCGCAGCGCGGGAAGCGGGGACGAGAGCGCTGGGGACACACACACACACACCCCCCCCCCCCCCCCCCTCCGATACTGGCTGGAAGCACATTCAACAAAACATGCGTCACTTAAAAAATAAGATTTTTATCTGTTCCAGAAACTTCCGTCTTAAGAAAATGCAATTACCTCCTTCAACAGGCTTCACAGTTAGCTAATGACATACAATCTGGGGAGGAAAGCTGTCACTAATTCTGCTAATATTAATCATACACTAATTCTCCTAATATTATTACTGCTATAAAGATTATCAGGTGCCAATTTAATCAGCTGAGGAAAGGGGGAAAAGAAGTTGTGCGTACAAGAGAAATTTCTTTTGTAGAAAACTCTGCTTCTGTGGTCGTTTTTCAGCATGATTTACCCCAGCTCACTCAGAGCATCGCACCTGTATTTGAAATTCTCTACATTTTTCAGCTTCTGCTAGCCTGTTTCACGTTGCCCAGGAAGACGATGTCACCAGCACCCAGTGACAGGCCGACAGCCGGAGCAGATGGGTGCTGACTGTCACAGAACTAGCGACAGGAGCCATGTGCACTTGAGCCTGCTACAGGTCACACGCATCGACTTTGCTTGAAGCTGGTTGTAAAGCTCCAATTAACCCCAACAAACATGGATTCCATTTTAAATGTGTTCAAGCAGATACAAGCAGGCAGGTAATTGCTTCCTTGACAGGTACAAAATTATATACAAGCTTGATTGTGAGCATATGCAAACCCGAAACATCCAATTTATCCTCCAACTGGTTGTTAATTTTCAAAAATACAAAACCATCTCCATTTAATTTTTGTATTCTACATTTAGATAAGAAAAAAATCTTAATTTATTGTATGTGCATGTAAGAAAAAAGAACATATGTACACTTTTTTTGATTTTATTCTATATGCCCAATTATTGCTGTATGAAAACCTTGCTATGAGGTTGCTCATCCATTATTTGAAATAACTCAGCAGTTTCAGTCACAGAATTGATACATTTGACTTGCTGAAGAAAAAAATTTTATTTACTCTTAAAAAATAGTCCAAATAAATTGAACATTTAAACATGTGTCCTAGGTATCTACAGAGGTCAGTATACTGGGCTGAGGGCATCATAAAGCCTCTGTGCAGCCAGTTCCACCATTTCACGAAGGGATTCATCATCATCACTTCCTGGCTCACAGTCAACTGTCTGGGAATAAAAAAAGAAGTATGTTAAAACTAGCACTTCGTATTCCTCTTCAGCATGTGAAGAATGCTCTAAGGGGGAAAGGAAAAAGTAGTAATTTAAATTGAAAAGAAAGTTATCAAGAGAGGCACCGTATGTTTTTAACAGTCTGCCAACATGTAGAAGAGTTCAGAGAAGACTTATGCAAGTCTTGCTGAGGAACAAGAAGCTCAATCTCCAGTTTTATGTTTGATTAATAACTTGTTTCAAAACTACTACATAAAGTGCATTATGTTCTGTAGATTACATTTAATCAAAATCAAATAAAACCACACAAGGTTCAGTCCGTGGAGATTTCATTTTATCTGTGAATTCACCTGCACTGTATTAGGTTCATACTGTAAAACACGTGCATTCATCACAGAGGTACAGGCACCTCTACTCGGAGGGTCTCCATGAGACTGATGTTCCCACACCCTTAAGATAACATTTACATCAAAATAAAACCACAAAGAGATTCATTTATCGCTAAAACAAGTCTTTTTAGAGAAAGATGCCCACCCCACACATGCAAGTTGATCAACATTCAACTGACTGCTCTATCTCAAAAACAAAGGACAGAATTTGCATGGCAATACTATTCTTGATCCCATGGACTTGCTAGGCTCTAAGACTGCACCTTCTCTAATTTAGTATTAACTTGTTACTCTCCTGAACAAGTAACACCTTTCAGCCATAAAGTTTTTTTTTTGCAGGTGGGAGGGGAAGACATTTGAAACAGCAAACATGCATTTAATGTTATCTACCAATGCTGTTAAAAGCATGTTAACTGTAAGAGGACTGTGTTAAGAGTTAATGCGGAAAAAAATAAATCCACATGTCCCACCGTATAGTCAGTTTTATACTAAACAGTTTTTTTACGTTAAAGCTATTAAAATTTTAAAAGATACATATGCACATAAAGGACAGATCTTTCTTGTAAAACTTGGTTCACAATGGTACAACTGCCAACAGAGTACCTAACATAAATGTTACCAAGATTACACCCTGTTGCTGCTGAGTTGCCATTAGGTTTTCTGTCAGTACACAAGTCTTTTAACAATAATGACATATATCAGTGTGTATTATAGGAAAATGAAACCTAACGTCTCGATTAAGCAGGATGCATTTGTTTTTTCCAGTCTTGTTACTTTTTTCTCTATTGCAAGAGCTCTTCTCATCAGCACTATTTTTCTCTATCATGTATACATTGAAATGAAGCGTATCTTTATTTAAAAACTGAAAAAAGGATGACACAGCAAACATTGTGTTTTAACCACAAGCCTGTAACTCCCTATCCTCTTAAGATAATTAACATTCACTTGTTTTGTTTCAATAGGTAACAGATTTTGTGCAGGGACAAACCTTATCTTCTGGGTTTGTAGAACACTTAAAGCATTTGCTGTGGTCCCAAAGGAGAGCATCTGAGAGCCACTCCAGTAGAATATATTATTGCTATGGAGAGTGGCAATACATTATGTATTTTTAATATGTTATTAAGAATGATGTCAAATCAACACATTAAAATGCTTAAGGACACAAAGGGCATGGTTTTAATCACTCTTTACAGTTCCACATTGTTCGACTAACTAGGTGTGATAGCTTCTTAAAACAGCCTTCTGACATCTGTGACATCCAATTCTGAACCTAGCTAGTAAATTAATAAAGTATTTCTTTTTGTGAGTATTTCAGGCTTTCAATTTAGTTACAAAAGGATCAAGATGACCAAAAAAAAATTTATTAGCATCATTCCTACTCTGTAATCATTCAATTATTCAGACCAGAGCCTATGTTTTAAGAGCATTTAAAAAAAAATTCTGGGTTAAATCAGTTTCTCCTCTGCAATCTTCCTTTAGTCATTTTTATACAAGTAGAACGCTGCTCAAAAACACTGGGTTTTCTTCCAGATTTACTGTATTTGTTACATAAACATTGCTAGCATTTTTTTAACAAAGAAAACTCTCTAGGATATGCTTCTGTAACAAACTCAGTAAACTCAGCTTGCAGGCTGGGGCAGTATTTCCCTCGGAAACTGATTGATGAGGATGTCAATTAAATCAGTGGAAAGTTAATAGGCTTAGGTTGTTTTGATACCAAATACAAAGACATTTCTGTAGCAAATGGGTACATGATACTCCAGGCAGCACTGTACACTAGATGGGAGACTCATCTCTGCTAAACACAGTGCACACAAAGCATGTGCTTTGCTGTACATACCCGAGTGTCCAGCGAAACGTTTGCAGTCTTCCCATCAACTGTGACGCACAGGACAGAGCCATCTTTTGAACTCACAGAGTCTTCTCCAAACATATCCCTAAAACAAAGACCTATGCGTGTAAGACATGGCTAAACAGCAAACTTATGTTTTTCTTTCTATTAACCTTCAGGTTCCAAAGGCATTTTGTCAGCAGAGAATCTCATTTCAGCAACTATTCTTTAACCCACTAAGATATAATTAACAAATACCGATCTAAATTATTATGAGAGTGGGTATCATATAACACTAAGTATTTTACCGAAATAAATCTTACCATAAATGAAGGGAAGGATTCATTTGATTTCAAAAGAGGCAAGATTTCTACATAAATAACAGAAGATACATCAGAGTAATTTTCAAAAGAGATGTGATCCAAAAAGGTATTTTCATAACCATTCATAGCATAATTCTGGGAGACAACTTAAAAATCTGCTTTTGGAAGAAATAACTGGGCCCTATATTCAAAATTTTAATGATGCTGGGAACTTTTTTCTGTACCCTTTTATTTACTTAATTCCTGGCCTTTGCTGAAATTACACTGAAGTAAATTTGCATAAAGTATTCTTAATATCTTTAGACTGTATTATACTAAGATTATTGTATTTACATGATTAACAGTGATCATTTTCCTTTAGAAAAATATATGCCAACTTACTGAAGCATGATCTCCATTCTCTTCCTATACACATCCATATCTACTTTTTTGGAAATTTTATGTACTGCAGCTGAAAAGAAAAAGTAATTTTACTTTCACAGGTATTTGCTGGGAGGGAGAATCGGCTAATTGATACATCCTGGTTTCTAATTCACTTTCATGAAAAACAATTCAAATGCTATGTAAGATACATATGTTTAAATAATTTATACAGAAAATATATTAAAAAAGATGGAAGAGTCAAGGAAGTACATACATTGAAAATATATGTTCCTTGTACTTAATCACAATTAAACCAGAAAACTTTGCAAGTCTAATTCTCATGTTTTAATCCTCCTTTTTATTGTTAACACTCACTACTTCTCACGTTTCCTTTACTTAAAAGTGCAAATAATCTACTTTCATCATTTGTTTATGATGCCTCTGCTTTCTGTTATTATAGCAAAATACCACATCATGGAAGCTAGGAGCGTGCAGAGAATACCTAAAGTAAAACTGGACAGCAAACTTGAGTAGCAGTAATAGGCACAGACAATCCTGGAATACATTTCAGCATAGAGAGGTTGAAATAAAAATGATGATACTATTTTTACACTTGGTTTTGAAATCAAGAAGTAGTTTAAAACAAGTAATTATCTTTTGAACATAATTATTT